ATTAATTTGAAATTATGTTTTATATTATTTTGATTAAATTTGAGTTAATTTTGATTTTTTTTTATCCCTCAACATTAAATTCAGTTATATTAGTCTCATGATCAACATTTCCGATTTGATAGGTTGATTTAAGTTTTTTTTCTAATAGAATTTTTTTCTCAGTTTTACCATTTAATATTTAGTTGATTTGGAATTAGATTTCATTTTTTTTTATTTACTTTTGAAGGAGTTTAATCGATCTCATTACCTAAGTTATGTGTTTGGCAAGTTAACCTGGTATTTTTCTATTATTTATTTTATTATTTTTTTTTATAATTTATTTATTCAATATTAAGTTGATTAAGAATTAAATTTTATAATTTATTTTAATTTGTTTTCTATAAAGCTACACAAATCTTATGATTCAGGTTGCGGCCTTATAGGTTAACTCAAATTAATCTATATTGATTTAATATGTTTTCATTTTAGTTTTTTATATATATATATATATTAGAAAAAATATATCATGTTAAAGTTTCTTTTAGTTAAATTATATTTTTAATAGTTATCTAAATTATTTTTAAATTTTTTAAATTAATTAAATTATATTAAATTAATCTGATTTAACTTTTTATTAAAAAATTCATTAATAACATTTAAATATTTCTTTACATTAAAAAAGTAATCTACCGTATAGCATAGCACGGCCAATGATGCGGTTTCACGCTCTTCAAATTGAATGATTAGCTGAAGGTTTTCCAAAAACCTGTTTTCTTTGTAGCAATGAGAAAATAAAATCACTGATATTTAGACAAAATTAAATAAACTAGCATTCTCCCCTGAGATTTGAATAGCAAATATTTGAAGGCCGTCGGCCAGCAGAATCTTTCAACGACCTCGTCATTTATTCATGAACTAAATGACCCAAGTATTATCATGTAACGGGATTGAATCCATGTAATGCGATTGGGTTGTTCCCATGAACCATATTTACGTGATCATGATTATAACCTCTTTTTTTGTTTAATTCTTTTTAAACGAAGTGTAAAATCTCACTTGAAATTTATAGTTTTTCTTGGCTTGCAAAGCAACTCCATCGATAAAAGCCTCTGCACCATGCATGCGCAATCAAGTCATTGAAATCTACTTCCAATCGGGAATATTACGGGAAGAAAAGAACAGAAAGAGGTTTGGCGCTGGCCGCCCTTCGCAGATTTTTTTAATAGAGGGAAGAGGGACGGAGCTAGCAGGCATCAATATTGAATCACATTTAAATCACGACCATAGTCACCCTTGGACGCTAATTAACATCGGAGGCCATCGACGCCCCACCTGAAAGGAAGGGTGTGCTTTTTAAATGTTTTGAATTCAGATTACTGTGCAGCGGCGCAAGGGAGAACGGACCTCCATGATTCTATACGTGTTATTTAATTCTGATTCAATTGAAATAAAATAATTCAGTCAAAATAGACGTGCCTTTATTAAGTTCAGCGTGTTTCAAACCCTGTAAGAAAGAGTCAAGCCGTGCCAGAAATATCTAGATGGTCCTCCTGGTACTATGTTCAATGCTTGTCGTTCCCAACGTATTTATTAACTCGATATTTCTTCATGTTTTACTCGAGGAAAGAATTGCCTTCGTTCACAACTAGCAGACATCGGCGAATTCTTGTCAACGCCAGCGTACCACTGGCGGCTTGCATCGTGGAATTCTGTTTCATTCTACTTGTTCAAATTAGTGTCAACGCCACGCCACGGCCCCGGTGGATGTGTTGAAATTACGAGTAATATATAAACACACACACACTTGTAAATTGGAATCCATGCATGTCGAGTCACCCAGTGAAATTAATAGACCAATTATCTATACCACTAGCAAGAATTTTACTGGAGAAGTTTCTGTGCTAGTAAAAAAAAGAGTTGTATAAGCAAAGTATTGCATTTAATCTCTAAAAGATGTTCGAAAAATCAAAACACAAATTTAATAAAACTTATATTTATCAAAATAAAAGGGAAAACAAGATCAAGAAACCATAAAACAGTAACATATACACTTCCAATATGAAACCAAACTTCTGTATCTTTTTATATATATACGCTCCTTACCACGGGCTAGAACCAGCCATGGCCTTTCTAGAAATCAACGCTCAAACACCTAGAAACAAACCACCACACAATAACCCTGAAATCATCAACAACAACATCCAGTTCTAGCTGAACCCCGAGCAAGAAAGCAACAACAACCCACAAAGAGAAAAATCAGCTGCTGCTTGGACACGACGAAGAAAGATATGCCAAAGATCTCTGTGTGGAAACCACGAACCTTCATAACATGGCAGAGGAGATGCACGGCCTGTTGATTGCATTATGTTCACGCGGACGGAAAATGGAAAGATCAAATGGGTGGATGCGCTATGGAGCACCGAGGTACATGATAAAGGGATAAGTTTTTTCATTCCCTGGAAATTAGGATCAACACCACTGAGCTCGGAGAAAATGATTAAAATGGCTTAAAATCAAGAGGGTTGAAGAATGACCACCGTTGCAAGAAAATCCTGTGTGTATAATATATAATCGTGGCTGGCTGTTGATCATTTGCACCACCGTGCAGGAGTTGTTGAATTCGCGAACAATTTCTTGCACCTGTTATTATTATTATTTTCATTTATCAAATCCATCTATTGAATTTGATATCTTCAGTGATATGTTTTTCGTACATATCATTCTTGATTCTTTTTATCCATCGCGTGTTTCTTATGTCCCAATCTTCTGAGTTTAATTTTCTCAAGTGGAAAGATTTTGTGCAGGGGAATTGTTGATATACAAGTATTTATTTTATTTTTATTTTTATTTTTATTTTTTAGGGAGTGTTGAAAGATATGTATTATTTCTAATTATTGATAGATTGAAGTATATGGCATCAATTAAATAACATGGAGCCAAGATTTCACATCACTAGAAAGTAATAATAATAGAAATGTTCATCACTATTTCTGGATAAAAATCGTGACAAATTTTTTATATGAAAAAGACAATAAAATTTAAATAATAATAAAAATGTCGGTATTAATAACATGTTGAATTATTGATAAATTTTTCAACAATAATTTTAAATTGAATTAAAAACCGACTGTTCATCTCCTTCTTCCTCGCCATCGTACAAAACACAACAACAACCCTAATTATGTAGGTAGCCAAACCCCATCTGAGAGAATCAACAACGCACACGGAGCAGTCCCCAGACCTTAGCTCTCATAAGACAAAAACATCGCCATCGCCATCGCCATCGCGGAGGACCAAATCGTCAAAAGAAAATGCTTCGCCTCCAGATCTGAACTCTATTACTTTCGATCTAAAGACTTTGTCGTCCCTTGCTTACTCGGCCTCCGTCTTGAAATCCTCTCAAGCGCAAGCTCAGCATCTAGACCCCGCCGGAGAACTCACTCTCCGAGTTTTTTCTTCTTCTTTGTTGTTTTTGCTCGCCGAGAAAATCTTAGCAGCTGAAGCTGAATTGATTTTTGTTTTCTAATTTCCTGTTTAAATGATGAGGAAATTTCAATTCGATTTTGAATTTTATAAACCCTAGTTTTCTTAATCCGCCAAATTGAATTTTAGCTTTCTATTTCTAGATTGTGATCTTAAGGTTTTTGTGATTATAGACCTGACTAGTCAATTGTTTGATTTCACTTGGTTTCAAATTTTGGGTTGATGAGAAACGGCTTCGATTCACTTTCAATTTTGGGTTGATAAGATGAAGGTTCCAACAATTGAATTTCTTCGGTAAGTCTATAGAAATACCGACAGAATCGCCTACATATCGGAAGTTTTCACCGGCGATTTTCAATTCATAATAAAAAATAACAACATATCGAAGTTCCAATCAAAAACACTAGTTTATTTACAGGTTGTATACTCTAGTTTTGGAGTACCACACAGGCCTTGATTGTTTATTCATCTCCAGTAAGGATGCATAGTCTCTTGTATCAAAACATTACAGACGGCCGTGCCTTTCAGGTTTTTTGTAGTGCTGGTTGGTAGACCATGTTCTATCCACATTGCTCAATGTTCATTATTTTGATTCCCTTCCGCCCTGTATCTACTTTGTTTTTTGGCTGGCTCGCTCCTTTTTTCCACCTTCTTCGTCGTAGTTGAGCCGACGAGCACGACATTGACTTGGAAGCGTATTTCTAAAACTTGGATCGACTTGGTTAAATCTAGTAAACACCATGTTAATTTTTTAGTGTTTTTTTTTTAAATTATATTATTTTAATTTGTTCTAAGTTTTATTTTTATTTTTGGAGGGTTAACCCTTTAAAACGATGTTGAACGCTTGGTTCCGACTGTAAATATAAGATTGGAGAAGTTGTAACATGTTTGGTCCAGAGTTTTCATCAAGGCAAGATTATCATCGTACTACCATGGAAGGAACAAGCTAGTCCAATGTCTTGGATAACCATTTTTACTCAATTTTCTATATTATCCATTATTTACTCATCACTCTTTTTTTTTTAATTTGTTTTACTACAGTTTGATTATATTTTATCAAAACAAATATTTTCTCACTGGTTTAGTTGCTATTTTTTTCTTTAGAGATTTAATTTGAATATAACATAAAATAAAAAAATTAAACCAGAACTAAAATGAAGTTATTGATAAATTTTAAAAATCAAAATAAAATTCTATAAAAATTCATTTATTAATCTTGTAATGTTAGGTGTTTACTAAACACATTGTCGATTCTGTATTAAATTTCAAATTAAAAACTTGTCGAATTTGGACTAAATTCTAAATTCAAACCTTGAAATTCATCTAGAAAATCCCAAAATGGCGCCATCTTCTCTGAGGACATCACCTTCCGGGACATCGGCGCGGTGGGTTTTCATTGTCGATTCAGCCAGAATTCGGATTAACAATTCCTTCCTTTTACACTTCACAACTGAAGGAATTTTAGTCCAAGGAGGTCATGGGACCTTCATATCTAGTTGCTTCCTAGGACAACATTCCACTGGTATGGAAATGTTAAAGTAATTGTACTACCCATGAGTTTCAAGGTTTGAATTTAGGATTTAGCTCCAATTCTATAAGATTTAGATTTAGGATTTAGAGTTTAGAATTTAGAATTTGAAATTTGCATTCGAGGTTTAATAACTAGGGTATGGAAACGTTAAAGTAATGATCATTTATTTCAAGGTTTGAATTTAGGATTTAGATTCCAATTCTATAAGGTTTAGCTTTAGAATTTAGAGTTTAGGGTTTTGATTTGGGGTTTAATAACTACGGTTTGCGGTTTGGGGTATGGATTTAGGTCCCCACTGTGGCTTTTGTCATCTGAAAATTGCACGCTGTTAGACTTCGATGATAGAGTTGGTACTTTATGGTTGATTCATTGAGAAAGACTTGTCCTCTGTGATGCAATCAAGTTTTTGGAGGAAGTTTTGGTTGGAAACTTGGATGCTTGTAATGTAGGATTTTTGTCTCAGCATCCAAAAACTTGAAACTCAGAATATTCTATTTACTGGTTCTGTATTTTGGGGTTTTCTGATAATTTAGGATATACTCCGGTATAGGCTGGCTCTAGAGATGTTGGAAAATTTTCAGTGCAAGAAGAAGCTGCATCAAGTTAAATTTTGGAAAATTTGACTAAAGAGTGCTTAAAAAGTAGGGATGACTCTGGATGAGAGAGCTGACATAAAAAAATCCAAGCATCATCGCGTGGGTATTAGATGTTCTTCACAAGATTCCAGCGATGCAAATTACTGAAAACAAATGCTCTTGCTGGCTGTTAAATTTATTGACATTGTGTTGCATGCAGACCTTCTACTGAAGAACTAAAAATGGCAAATGTAGAGCGAAATGCTCATTTGTATTTTACATCTCGCATACCTGTCTGATGACCGCTAACCTGTGCTAATAATCAGTTGAACATCCTTACCGAGCATTGAAACAGAAAATGTTCATAGCCGGAAAACTTTTTAGATCCATTACATCTCCATGGTTAACCATGTCCTTGCATCACAGGGAAACAGCAGGATCTGGTCTTTTGTCCTGATCATACTGTATTCTGCTCTGAACGCATAATGATAAGAGTGGATGTGGCCTTTTCCAGGTCCGCATTTTTAGATGCATGTCAGATATAATTGATGTGTTATATTAGCTAATCTGAGTTTAAATTTGTTGGAATTCTGTTTCTTCATTTGTTTTTAATGGCCTTAATTTTTAATATTTCAGGGTGTTCTGAATGTGGTCATGAGGAAAACTCCTGATATTGGCGATGCATCATGTGCAAGTCCTGCGGTTTTCTGCCCTTCGTTAATTGTCTTCTCCATTTTCTTTATGATAGCACGGCATTGTCCTGGTCAGAGTAATTGGATATCCAAACGACATAACATTGATATTTCTTGCTTTATACATCCGGTTCAGGTAAGAAAAATCACTTTCGCAGGATCAACAGCTGTGGGAAAGAAGTTGATGGCTGGTGCTGCTGAAACTGTTAAAAGGGTATGCATATGATGCTAATATCGATGTGATGAGGTTTCAGAAATCGTCTTGGCTAATTGTCTTTTTCCTTGATATTTCTAGGTGATCCTGGAACTTGATGGGAATGCACCCCCCTGCATAGTATTTGATGATGCAAACCTAGAAGTGGCAGTTAAAGGATCAGTCAAGTTAGAGTGGTTCCTTGTTTGGAAGTGTAACCTTTTGTGTGAGTTACAATGGTGAGGCCATTTGATTTACTGGGTTTAGGGCAGCCTTTTGGTGCAGAGGCTTTGATTCAGGATTTTGAGAACGTGTTCTTTCCTCGTGATATAGCTCTTTGTTTTGCTTGCATTATTGGAAGGTAATGTCATCGTGATGCTAATCTTAAAAATCCATTTCATATTTTGCAGCTTGCATCAAGGTTCCGTAATAGTGGACAGACATGTGTTTGTGCAAACAGAATAATCGGGCAAGAGGGTATCAAACCACAGAACTAAAGTCATTGCTTTCAACCCTCTGATTCCAATTTTTATGCGTAATATGCAGCAATTTTTCTTTGTGATATACTGTGCCTTTTCGTGCAGGTATCTTTGACAAATTTGCAGATGCTTTTTCAAAGGCTGTTCAGAGCATGCAAGTTGGAGATGGATTTAGTGAAGGTGTGGCGCAGGTAGGGGTTGTAGCTTGTTTTTCACTTGTAAAATCTCAATTTGTGTGAAGCTAGTCTGGCATTCCACGTTTCCTAGATTTAGCAGTTTCTAGAGATGATGGCATTTCAGTGGTTGGTGACACATGTTAAACTGCTTTATGATCTTTATTACTCACTCTGCCCCGTAGAGTTTGTCCATCTTTCCGTTTAGGGCTGTCCCAAAATTATTAATGACTATAGTAATTATCGCATAATTACTGTTCATCATGCTATAATATCGTTACTAACCAAAAATTCCATGCCTGCACTTGGTAAAAAATAATTGTGGTTTATATATTTTGTAGTTACAAGCTTTGATCAACCACTTCGTTTATCAAACCTCTCACCACTATCCCTACAACAATTACTTGGACACTCATGTTTTGTTTTTAGGCTTACAAGCTCATCCTTAATCCTTGACATGTAAAATTTAATTTGCAGATTGGAGGTGAATGTGCTTTGACAAGCCGAACTGGACTGGGGACCAATCCAGGTCGGGGGAGATGACTGAATTGAAAGCTCCTTAGGACATTCAGAACTGCATTGTTTATCAGCTTCATTGTACACATACAAATCTACATTTCTGTCTCCTATTACCCTGGTTTTCAATTCCCAGAAAACCAGTTCTTGGTTTACGTTGCACCGCTTTTACTGCCATAACGAGGCATTCTTTCATGCTGTGCAGATCAAATATGTCTGCTTAGGCTATATGAACAGAAAATGAGGTCCAAGACTTGTATTAGTCACCAATTGTCTGTTGTAGCTGGAATCCGGTTGGTTGCCCCCTTTAAATTTAAATCCAGTCAGGATGCTTCCAGTTCGGTTTATTCAGGCAAATAACGCGGCACATAATTTTAAGGTAGCTCAGTCGGAGAGTGTGCAGTCTCAACTATTGGATCGTGAGTGTAGAAGATGACCAGCAAACAGAGCATCACAACATGTGAACGTAATTAAATGCAAATTTGAACCATTATCCCAGATAAGTTCCTATTTTACAGAAATAATGGTGTTTGTTTTCTTCTGGGTAATGCTTATCCTCTCTGTCCCTTTTCTTCTCCTCAAATGTGGACATGCTGTTATTTCCAATAGTCTTAATTAAAGAGAAGAAAGTTTCCCTAAACGAAGGGGGAAAAAAAATGAAGGAAAACATCTGAAAAGGAAGTGGGTTAGAGTCTTCTCTTGGGGCCAAAAAAAATAATTTACTTCGAAGATACCTGGTCAGGTTTGAACTAAAAGAGCACCGACTGTGTCTTCACAATTTTATGAAATTTTCAATTTTTTAAAATATGTTTTTGATTGAATATATTTCAAAAGAATATATATTTTTATTTTATTATTTTTTTTACATCAGTATATTAAAATAATATGAAAATATAAAAAAATATTAATTTAAAATAAATAAAAACTTATCAAAATTTTTTAAAAACAAAAATAAACACTCCCTTAATCTTCTTCAGTGTCGTTGTACAGGTTCTAAGCACATTTCAAGATAACTTGTCCAGTTAATCCACTTTTCGTTTGCAGTATGCTACCGAGCAGGCGCATGATCGTTCATGAAAACTCCCTGTTCTTGATGAAGTAGAGAGAATCAACCGCAATTATAGAGCTTCTTGATTTGGTTGCAAGGAGTTACAAACGTGAATTGAGTACGTGTTTAGTTCATAGAACATTTTTCGTTTTAAAAATATACAATCAAGTAACGTAGATATATTAGTTTTACAAATGATTTGTGGAATATTTTTAATTATTCTAGTAATAGAATATTAGAACGCTGAGGGAAACATCCCATCCCATCCCATGAAATGATCTCTCGGGATGGAAAAGACTGTATGCTAATTATACAATAAGATGGGTCCCTCAAATTCACCTTCGAAGGAATATGTTCAATATTCCAGAGAATATATTCATTTTAAAGATGCTTGAAATTCAAGCTAGCATGCCCTTAAAACTACTTTGCTTGCTTATATTATAAAGGTATAGCTAACAGTGGAGCAATGTGTTGGTCCATAACGTTAGGAATCTCCAAATCTAAATGAAATGTCATCTTAATTTCACGTAAGGATTGAATTAAAGGTGCCAAAATAAATAATAATAAAAACAGTAATTCCTCCTCAGAATTAATTATTTTAGTTTGACCAAATCCTGTAGATGTGACTAGTTACATATGGCTTCCAAAAAGAAAAAAAAAAAAAAAAACAACACATGAGATCCTTTACTCTTCTCTTCATGTATATATATGTACTTGAAAAAAAAAAAAAAAAAACTCTTCGTAGATGCATACGATTACGAGTTTGAGGGTGAGAGCTTTTTGGTGGAGGGGAATCTTCCTTTGATTGTCAGAGACGGAAGCATCTGTTCCCTTTTATTAGATTTCGGAAAATGGAATTCATTTTTTTATGATTTTCAAAAATAAAATCTATAGATTATAAAACAAATAAATATAAAAATAACATTTCATGAATTGATGAGAATTAAAATATTTTATCCGATTCATGATGAAATTAGGTAGATAAAAACCAGATCCCATTACAAGTACTTAATTAGGTAAAACTGTCGTCCTATGTATAACCCCCCTTGAACCGTCCCGGAGCACTGCTTCACCGTGAGCGCGCCGCGGGACCCGGCGTCAGCTTTGACATCATAGTTCCTTTGCCTGTGCATCTCCTATGCAACATGCTATTTTAAAAAGTTAAATTGATATTTTAAATAATATAAATATAGTTTATTTTACTGTATTTATTTTAATTTAAAAAATCGTCATTTATATTAGAATAGAAAAAATGTTTTTTTTTTATGGCTACATTTTATTGATTTATTTTTTTAGTAACTTCACTTTGTTAGTTTTACTTTTTTTAAGAGATATATTGGAATAGTATACGTGGAAAAGAAAAAACATTTTAATATTTTGTTTTGTTCCTTTAGAGTACAAATAAACATAAAAAAATTAAAATATTATTTTTTAATATCTAGCTTTTCATTTAGAATAGCCGTTGGAGATGCTCTCATGTTTTGGATGGAAGCAGAAATGCATGGAAGGACAATCTTCAACTCCACAAAAGTGATAAGAAGTTGAGCCCAGTAACAAAGCTTTAGAGGAGGAGAGGTCCCCAAATCCTGTCATCAAAAAGCTCCATACTCAAAACCCTGCTAGCTTTATGCATTGATGTTCACTTCCTCACATAGTACCACCCATAGAAGAGCACCGGAAAGTTGGCTCCACCTTATCTGGTGCTTAACTACATTTATCCCCTAATCTCAGTGCTTATATATGCTGCATTGTCAGAGCTCGTTTGATATCGGAACTAATGAAACTCCGCCACAGAAAGCAAATCTATTGCCATTGCATGCAAAAACCGTCCCCGCTGATCATATAAAGGTATAAAAAGGATTTGGCATGCTAATCTGTTGATCTAATTAAGAGCTTAAAAGGTTAATGAAACTAACGACGTGGCTTAATTAACTACTTTCAGAAAGAAACAAGAGATTAACGAGGCATTCTTCAGTTGGCGTATATTTTGGCCGATGGGGTCTACGTACGTTGTTTCGTGCTGTGGAGGTAGGTTCTAATCCTTATCAAGTTATTCACTGTACTCATAACTAGAAAAGTGATAGGAACTGATCAGATGCAGTCTTGCAGATAGAGGCACGAGCACACGTGTGAAGAAATTCATCACCATGAACGATGCTCATAGATCAAAGTTATTCCAACAATCAAGTACCACGAAGGGCTGGCTGGATGATTGAGGAGTGTGTTCTCTTTTTTAATTATTAGAAATCCAAGTTCTAGATTAAGCTGAGAATTGTTTTTTTATGAATTCTTTAATCACCAATATCAAAGTAGAAAAAGGATAAATTGAGTATCTACACGTAAGAATATTATTGATATCTGATTTTTTTGGTGTTGATACTAAAATAAATTTTAAAAAATAAAATAAAAATATTATTTTAATATACTTTCAAATAAAAACTTAATATTTTTAAAAAATAACTGCTTACATCACCAATCGGCTCTTAAAAAAGATCTAAACGCAGTACAATGTCAAGATGGTACTTACAAACATACTAAACACTTGTTTTAATAGGTCAGATACGCTCTTGCAAGGAAAGTCTCACGAATAAATTCAGAATCTAGGAGGAAAGTAGTATTCCATATATTAGGGTTTTAAAATATCCTCTGCGGAAATTTTCAAGTCAAACCTCTAAGCCAGTGCACAGATACAATTACATCACTCTTTCTGAGTGACAAATGCACATGGATGAGGTCTCCTGGACGTATGTTTCTAGACAAAGACTAGACCGGATATTGTTCGTAAACTGGAGTTCTAGAATCTTGATAAAGCTAATTTATTAAATTTTCAATAAACTATATTGGGTCTACGTACAGTTTAGTTCTGACTTAATTAGAGATCAAGTGTAGTCCTTTAAATTAATATACATGAATACGAAAAACACACAGCTAGCTATATATAGACAGAGAGAGGGAGAGCGCAGAAAACCTTTTTCCTAATCAAATTAAGAATAATTAGATAACTATAATTATGACAAGAAAGGGAAGACATTTCCAATGAATGCCTCGGACCGAGATTGAGACTGTCTTAATCATATAAAGATCATTAAAACCTTTTTGCTGTCAATGACACAAATTAAAGCATGTCTTTGTGTTCTAAACCATCTTGGCAATTATAATCTTCTCGGTTCAGAATAAGCTAAAAAGTGGATCGTCCTACGAAACAGGAGAAATGATGACAAGTGACCACCCCTGCACAAAGTAATGTCTAGCTAGTAAGATCTGGGTTTATATATGCAGAGCATGGCTCTAACTCCCCACCACCAGAAAAAAAAAAGAAAAAAAAAGAGGTAAAGAACAGCACGTATTGCGGTCATCATGATTGCGCAATAGGGCCTCAATTCTTTATTAAAAAAAAAAAAAAAGAGGCCTCCATTCTCATACCTTAATCCAAAAAAAGCTTCACATGGTAGAAGAATAACACTACAGAAAGATGTACTCTTCTTTTGGTGATAACGAAAGGTTTTCTACTCGCTCCTATCTGACAACACAGGTACGTACATCCACCGCAAAACATAAAGATTCTCGCCCTCTATATATCTCTATGAATTTAATTTCTATTCGGAGAGGACACGACCAAAGTAATTTGGCAAATGTATTTCAATTTAGTGTAGATTGCTACAGTCGAGAGAGAGAGAGAGAGAGAGAGAGAATCTTTTGACAAAGGTTGCAGGGCTGCACATTGGGTGGGTACTTTATTTTATAATTATTTTTTTCTGGGTATATATTATTATACATTTTCTTTGATGCAAAGTTAGCTAGTCTCCTTTGCTTTCTACTAGTATTTGTGTTAGAGGGAAACAAATCCCAACCTCTCTTCTTCTTAAAAAACGCACCCTATTCTTCCATATTTGCATCGCATTTGTTCTTGAATCTCTTTGTATTCCCAGCGTCTCTGAGAGAGAGAGAGGGAGAGAATGTTCCATACCAAGAAACCCTC